CACTGTAAAGATTTGTTCCCTCTTTTGAGTTACTACATCCATAAGTATAGGTCAAGTTTATCAAATTGTAGATTACTTGTTTGTTTTTTCCCCTCTTCTTTCTTATTTTAGTTGAGTTCTAAGCATCCAGTGATTGAAGCCAGGTCTGGGTACTATCTGCAAATATGGGTGTTCTTGTGCATCTCCCCTCACTTCTTATCAGCTGGATACTTCACTCTCTACTCTAGTCGTCTGTCGAGAACCGGCCTCGACTGGGGGGTTCGGTTCATGAAGTAGGGAGATCTGGCAGTGACAGAGATAGAGAAAGAATACACACAAAGACGCAACAAGAGAGACAAGAAGACACCCCGAGACCAGAGTGGATGCGACACTGGCGTCAGACAGATCCTGCATTGTAAACATCATGGCTATGCAAGCAGTAGGCACACCTTACCAACTGCAGTGCCTGCCTGTAATGCATGCCCTGCAAGCCGTAACGCATGTGGACTTCAGTCTGCACCTCCTTTTTATTTCAGGGAGGAGCTTTACGCAAAGGAAGGCGGGGATTATTAAGACAGGGTACAGAAATGTGATTTATCGTTCAAAACAGGACACGATGATTTACAGGAACAAATTCTAAAACAAACATCACAAATTGTCTTGATAATCTAACATCCTTGATTTTCTAGAAATTCAAGCAAATTGTTATATAGTACTTTGTAGGTTCGAATCCCAAGGCAGCAACTTGAGGTTTCTCAAGGCTAATTAACATATCTATAGCACCTAATCTTCAGTGAGAAAAGGATTCAAAAGGTCTGAAAGGAATCCAGCTGTTTCAGCTACCTGGCTGAGGCTTGCAAGAGGAAGGAGGACACCTATGTTAATTGTCTGCACCTGGGGACATCTGAGAAGGCTGACAACCATTATTCTTTGAACAAAACCCCCGGAAGCTGCCAGATTCAATCTACTTTGGGTGAATTCCTTAGGGGAATTTTCTCCAGCAAACTTGCCTTTGGAACTTTTAGGTCTCGACTTTAGAAGAGGTTTTTGTTTTAATGTTTGTCCATGGGTATCAAGGGCTCATGTATTAAGTTAATATCAAACATAACTGAAAAATCTGATAAAGAA